CATCATCATCATCATCATCATCATCATCATCATCATCTGGTTCTGAGAGTGAGTAGAATCGTATTTCTGGGTTCTTATCATCCTGTATGTAGTAAATTGAACAGAGTGGAAGAGCACGGTTGATAGCGAGGGAATGGGGAATCAATTTTTGTTATCTCTAGTCTTTGCTATATCAGCACAGTTACTGCAGGGATTCTGACCTTCACGGCAAACTAGAATTTATAAGTTTGTCACTTGTTGTTGCCCTGTTCTTTTGGGGGCTAAAGTTTGCATAGGGCTAACTCTGAAGTGTCCAGATGGTGCATGAATGTGAAGAGCATCTAGATCATTGTTTCTCAAGCTTGGCAGCTGGAAGACGTGTGGACTTCAACTCCCAGAATTCCCCAGCCAGCATGGCTGGCTGGGGAATTCTAGGAGTTGAAGTCCACACGTCTTCAAGTTGCCAAGCTTGAGAAACAATGATCTAGAGACAGACCAACTTGAACATCTCAGAGCAAAGTACTCAACATTCTTGGTACCCAAGCAACTAGCTTTGCATGGCTGGCTGGGGAATTCTAGGAGTTGAAGTCCACACGTCTTCAAGTTGCCAAGCTTGAGAAACAATGATCTAGAGACAGACCAACTTGAACATCTCAGAGCAAAGTACTCAACATTCTTGGTACCCAAGCAACTAGCTTTTTTATCCAATTGTCTGATTATTTATTATGCATTTCTCATGAAAGAAGGTTCAGCCAGGTCAATTCCTCCTCTGTTTTCTTCCCTCTACTGAATATGGGGTTTAGCTGGAATAAAACTGGCAATATTCATTTGGGGTCGTAAACCTCTGGAAGCATAATTATAAAAAGTGCTCTCATAATTATTCTTCAGGATGCATAGGCAAATATTTGATCTATCACAGGCCTGGCATGAAAACAGAATTAACCCCATTATATCTAATGGCTTCTGTGCTTAATTAACAACCACTCTCTGAAGGTGAAATGGCACACAACAGGGAAGAGAAATGTCCAGAAAATGAAAGCTACATTTAATATGTTCTCCTCCTCCTCTTTGAGCCTACAAATATTCACACTCATGCCTCTTCCAGGATGGAGGAAGCTCTTCTTCCCTTCTTTAAGCCTTGATCTCACAAGAAATCTTCTATCTGAACCTGACAACAGCCCATAATGTTTGAGGAAGCTGGGCCAATTTGCACAACAGGATATTTCTAGAAGTTGCAAGACCAGACAAGCATCAGTGGACAAAAAGTATTAAGGCTTCTCAAATGTAGAAAAGAAACTCATTCTTTCTTTCCTGACATATCAACTGAGACTCCAGATCAGCCTGGTGGGGAGGAAGGAAGGAGTTAATAAAGAGAGAGAAAGTGAGAGAGAGAAATGGACATATTTTTAAGCAGAGACCCCTTTCTCTGTTAAGGGCCACATTCTGCCAGGGGAAAGACTCTGATAGAAATATAAAATGAGGCACTGAATGGAAAAAACAGACAGAGAAGGGCATTTCTTTTTTCATCCTCTCCCAAGCTTGTACTGTATGCCAAACATTTATCAAAGAAACAAATTAGCAAGGGGATTCAGGACAGACCAGGTGAAGGACGGCCTCCCTCAACATCTCATCAACTTATGGAAATCACCCTTAGCGAGCTGGTTGATGATGGATTTAAGAAAGAAAAAGGACCTCTGCCTAATCTGTAATTAACTCGTGGAATCTTCTATCACAAGATTTGTGGGGTAAATCACCAGCTTAGATGGCATAAAAAAATAATTAGATAAATCTGGGAAGGCTAAAGCTATCAAGAGCTCCAGGTTGGAAGAAGGAAACGCCTGTTGTCAGGGGAAAACAGCAGGAGAAAGTCGTTGTCTTTAGAGGGTTCTGCAGACAGCTGGTTGCCCAAGGTGGGAACCAAAGGCTGGACTGTGCTTGATCAGCCTGGCTTCTTCCTGGCAAATGAATAGCGTGCTTGTGTGCAACAAGTCACTGCCTTTAACAGCAGCTCTGACCCTTGAAAGCATCTTAGAAGAGGTTCCTCTCTCTAATACAAGTCACGTCTGAGGTGATGGATTTGTTTTAAAGCACAGTGAGATCTAAGCGAGATTTTCTTCTTGCTTACTGCCTTCTTTGGTATGACCCTGACCACCATCCCCTACAGATGCCCAGAGTGAAGGGCTGCTCCCTCGGCCCCCAGGGCTCCTTTAGGAGCAGATTTCATGTTCTGGCCTTGGCCTCGGCATTAGGGCAACTTGGAAGAAACTCATAAATCAGAAGGGTTGGCTGAAAAGGAAAAACCATTTGGCTGATGCTGGGGAAATAAAAGCTCAAGTATGAAAATTAAACTGTTGCAACCAGAGTTGGTGGCTGTTTGCACTGCTGGAAAGGGTTGCTCCATTTCGAAATAGTTTGACTAAAGCAGAATTAAGCCAACATATCCGATGCGTTACTCAAGTAGGCAACAATGTTTGAATACAAAAAAAGTGGCCCGCAGAAAGTTTCTCATCTTGTTGATAAAAAAGTACAATAAACAAGCAAACAAAAAACTGTCATTATATGAACCAAATAGATGAAAGTATCCAAATTACATTAAGCAGTTTCAGAACCAAATGTGTCCAATTGCAAGAATCCTTCTGTTGAAGTCCATCTAAAATTCAATTTTTAATTGACACCTTCCATCCATTGCTGCTTATCCTGCAACAGTTGATAATTTAAAGGTAAACTGCTCCTAATGTTGGCAGCTTCACCATGGATAGCTGTTACCAAGTTTCTCCTCCTGATATCATCCAATCCTTTTGCAGAAGCCACCTAATTTAGCACCCACATCGTGCACATATTAAATATAACTTTTGGACAGAACGAAGCTTGCTGCCAATTAACATCCTCAAATGACCCAGAGATGTTTAAATAGAGAAGTTAAGCATCACAATACCTTAGCTCAAACAAGAAGCTAGTTTACTTATTCTGAATCCAGGCTCACAACCCCCAGATGTGTATTGGAGCAGACCCCAGCTATCCAGCTGTGAAGAAAATTGCTCAGCAGATGCTCAGACACACTCTTTCTGTACCTACTCAAGTGCCAAGGTAATGTTGATAAAATCTCCCTTTTTAAATTCCTGCTACCATAGAAGCAGAAAGAAAATCATGGTTTTGACTAGCTTTTGGGCATTTAAAACAGCATCCAACAGTTATTTGTGCTTTTCTCTCTTTTATAGACAATTTTCTGAGGCTTCACTCCAGGACTTGGTGAGTCTACTTAGAGGTATCCAAGAAAGATTAAAAGTTCAGCACCAAGGACAG